ATTTTTTAAAGTGTGCTCGTTCCCTTGTACATATGCCGATTCTCCCAGCCCCACCGTTCCATCGGGGGCCGTGCACTCATCCCTCTCTCATCCCATATCGGCCTTGCTTGCTTCTTGCCGGATCGGGGCGGCGCTCATCACGTTTCGCCCCGCTTCTGGTGCTCCCTCGGAGGTGCTAGAAAAAGAAGACGTCACTCAGGAAGGCGGGGATTTTTCGATATTTATTTTTTTTGGTCTTTTGCTGTCCGCTGGCTGCTTTTCTCGGTGCGAATACGCAGGCTGGACAGGAAGGAGGGGAAAATTGCCGAAGGGAGGCAGGGGAAGGAGGCAGGGTGGTGAGGGGTCAGCCAACCGCACACGGATTCCTCCGTCTAGAGTGACGGGATTGACGGTCAGGGAGGCTGGCCGCTGTGCGATAACGGGACAGCGAAATGAAATTACGACGGGCACGTGCAAGTGGCAATTCCAGCCGTCAGTCAGGTGAGTCAGAAAGGCAGACTGCCCCGTGCTTTGCTAGACAAACTTGGAGGCGGTCAAGGACGACTTGGAAGATCAGAATTGAGAGGCAAGGTCTAGGCTGGGGAAATCTCGGTGTGTATCTTCAAAGAGCCAAAGAAGTTCGAGCTAAGTTTTTGTTGCGGGGGCCTCTGCCCGTGTTGCATGCGACTGCCATCGTCATGATTTATCACCCAGGCCCAAAAAAAAAAAAAAAAAAAAAAAAAAAAAGAAGCTTGCGAACAGGGTTCCCTGCAAGAGGACCCTAGGAGGGTTTACATGGACACGGATACGGATGTCTAGCCGGACAAGCCAGGAAGGAGAGATGGATGACAGGGAAGCATATCAGGGACACGCACACGCACGCCGCACACACAAGAACCGAACTGGAAAACGGCAGGGATACGTCGGGGCAAACCAGTTCTTGCTGCTCCTCCCGAACGGTGGGTGCGGGGATCCACTCTCAAATCCTCACTTGTCCCTACCTATTTATTGTTTGTTATTATTGTCATCTCCGTTCGTCGTTCGTCCATGTCGATAGGACTTTGTCTTCCAATGTCCACGTGAGCAAGCACCAAGAGGTCCAAGGCCGCTTTGGAAGGTTACCTTGGCTTCCCTTTTCAACCCTCCAAGCCCCGGGGATGAGACGCCTGCGCTTCCAGCGCCTCTCCTTCGCCCACTCGCAGCCACCCAGGGTAGCATGGGAGGGTGGTCATCTGTATTGTGTGTGTGGGAGCGTGTGCGAGTGTGTGGTGCGTGCTAGTTGTGTGTGTGTGTGTGTGTGTGTGTGTGTACTGTACCTGGCTGGTACCTGACGGCGGGAACCATCGTCCACTAGAGGAAAGGTGAAGCGAGCTTGTTGCTAACCACCAGCGTGCAGGCGCAGCAGGCGCAGCAGCGGGTGTTGCTTGCGCAAGCCCGTCCCCCGCCGGCATAGTGACCAGAGAATAAACAATCGCGGACATGCCGAAATGAGAATCCGCCCGAAACTTAGATTCGGTCCGGCCAACCAGGCTTTCTCAATCGCTGGCGGCCGGCGACCGGCGACGGGAGGTGCCGTCCCTTTTCTTCTTCTTCTTTCCTTCCAAACTCGCGCGCACGTTGTGTGTGTGTGTGTGTGCGGCCTCCCTCCATCCCTTTCCCGCTTGCGCTACTTTGCTACTAGCTCACTACCGCCTGCCCTCTCCCAGTCCCTGCTTGCTTTTGCCCCCGACGCCCCCCCGTTGGTCGCGGAAGTCAGACGCAGCCTTCCCCGGGTGGTTGCACCGCCTTTCGTCCTGTCGTCGAGCGCCCGTCGAACCCTTGCGTCTGCAGCTGGGATTGATCAATATCGGACGGCTGACGGCTGATAGGTGGATTGGCCTGCCCAGGCTCTCTCTCACTCTCTCGAGTCTTCTCAGCCGTCCTCTCCGTCGCCCAGCTTCTCTCTCTCCGCGCGTGTGTCCTCCGTCCGGTTGCGAAATCGACCACGTCAGCGATTGTGTCGTCTTCCTTTTCATCACTCACACCGCCATCTTTTTTCTAGCTATCATTTCCTCATGCCGCTGACATTGCTTCTTCACCCCGCTTGCTGTTGTGTTACACATACAATGCGATTCCACAGCCTCCGTCCGATTCCGTGGCTGGCCTGGCCGGGTCCGGGCTAGGCCAAGCGAGAGGCGCGGTCTAGACTCTGATGGGCCCCATTGATGAGAAAAGCTCCTCTCTTTTTTTTTTTCCTTTTGTTTCCATCCCTTCTCATGAGTGACCCTACCCCTAAAATCCCATCTCACGACACCCTCAAGTTCCCCACGACCGGTGAGGGTGCGGGGCAATTTTATTTTTTCCCACCTTCTTCTCCCCCCTCGGAGCATCCCGTAACAGGAGCGAAAACTGGGGCCATGCATCCTCTCCGGGCCCCCGGCTCGCCCGGTTATTGCTGTCTCAATGCCGGGTCCTGATCCCGAGTCCTGACTAGGGTGGAATACGAGATCTCGTGCATTGGCTACTAGAGCAAGTATTCGCTTGCGCGGGGGTTTGGCCGTTTTCGCAGCCAGAGATTTCCCGACCCCAAGAGCGAGGCGCCGCTAATATTGAAGGGCTTGCGTCAACGACGGGTTGCTGTTCCTGCAGCCAAGGGAAAATGGGAATATTACAGGCAAGGACATGACATGACTGTTTGTGAGTGCGATTTATGCACATAGCATCAGAAACAACAATATTTGAGTGTAGACGCCCTCTGTTTGGTCAGACGTCTAAATAGGGTAAGCGAACATGACAGCTATCATAGTTTGCTCCAGAGAAAGCTTCATTACTCCTGCTTGGCATCTCTACTATCATTACACGCCCTCGCCCACTCACATCACGCTCTTGACGACTTTATCCCTCAACTCACTCCACTACTTGCACCTGTACCGTGAGATGGCTCGCTGCCATCGGCTTGGCTTGCGGGCTTCATGTAGCCTCGGCTGGGGGACACGAACCACGGGAATCCATATCCTTGCATGAGGTGGGAACCCTGTGCCAATCTTTTCGCAGCCGCCTTAGACGCCGAGCGATTGGCCAGCTGAAGACGGGCCGGCGACGGTGCATCGGAGATGGGCACGACGCAGTAGCGATGCGCGCATCGCGCAGGACACACAACACAAGGGGTCGTGGTGTTGTTTTGGCGGTGGGGGAAGGAAGGGGCAGGCGAGCGCGGAGAGGAGGAGAGCGCGGAGAGGAGGAGAGCGATAGAACCAACGAAGAGAACGCAAATGCAAATGCCTCGTGTGGGGATCATCTCGATAGGAATGCGGCTCGCCTTGTTTTGGGTGGGTGTGGACGTCGGTCTCTGTGGAGGGACGATGCAGAAACGTGTGGAGGCATCTCTCGCTTAGAGACGCATATCAATCTCTGGGGCTTAACAATATAGCCGCGATGCGAGCGCCCACTGCCAACTGGCACGATCGACGGCCGGGGATGGGGTTGAGGGGGGGACCTGGTGGTGGTGGCGGCCGTGGTCATGACCGTGGCCGGCTTGCACGGGACCGCAGCCATCCGAGGGAAAAAAAAAAAAGAGCAAATGCCGTTCCTGTCATCTGCAAGGTGCAGTTGCATTGGCTGGGACAGGTGCCCTTTTCTCACCTTTTTACCTTCTCTCTCCATCCTTGACTGGGCGACGGCAAGCGGCGGGCGCGTTCCTTGAGGGGATCACGAGGTGCAGAGCCGAAAATGCAACCTGCTTTGGGCTCGGGGGAAAACCTTGAAAAGCATCGGATCCGCCCCGACAAGCCTCCAATCAGGGCGAGATGCCGAACTTGGCATGGCGGGCCGGGTGGTTCATTGGGGACGAGGAGGCCGGACGTCGCATTTGATGCGACCGCCTTGTCCCGACCGCTTGCACGTTTTGAGCGAGCGCTGCATGCTGGTCGTAGGTACAGCGCCTCTGAAAGGTACCTGGGAGCTATCCGGGTGCCTACGGTAGGTACATAGGTAGGGTTGGAGGCGATCAATACAAACGTGTCCAGGAGCTGTTGGCAGGGTAGGACGGTGGCCGCGGGCTGCGGGCGGAGAGGCGAAACAGCCTGGGGAATGTCGAGCCGAGCTTATGTCCAGGTTCTTGTTGGAGATGAGCAGGTCTTCAAATGGGGAAATATACAGATGACAGCACATTGAGCTTGAGCTTGTCCGAACATGAGTACCTGTAGCTACGGCAGACTGTGGCCGATGGTGATGGGGTGCGTCTCAGGGTAGTCATGGAGGAGGAGTAGCGGGCGAGCAGCTCGATGTAGCCCCGTATTATGGGTGGGTTCGACAATACCAATTGATGTGGATGCAACCTCAACCGACCCACACGAGCTGCCCCCAAAGTCTCAGTTGCAGTCTCGCTGGGGCAGCTTTCTAGAAATCCCCAGAGCTTTTCGACTCCCGTTTCCGGCACGCCCACCCTTCCACACGGGTCCCCATAATGTCCCCACCTCCACCAGCCCCACCACCTTTGGTAGCTGCCTGCCTGGAGAGAACGAAGCCACAAAGCCCGTCGGTCATGCCAGGGCTGCAGTGCAGCTGGTCTCTCAATTGCTGACCGATGGCTTGTTCTGGTCGGAAAACTTTGTCGGAAGAGACAGAGATGCTCAGCCTGCGCCGAGCCGTGCCAGTCAGAAAGGATCAGCGAAAGCATGCCCAACCCCAACCCATCGAGGCGCCTCGCAGCCGCAGCAGTCTGGCGCCAGGCGGGATCGATCAATGATGGACGGGCAAAACAGCGATGGTGGACCAGCAGTACTCCACCCGCACGCCCAAAAAAAAGAAAAAAAGAAAGAGAAAGACTCCGAGGAAAAAGGCGGGCAGCTGGCTGGCTGGCTGGCAGGGGCCGTGGCCGATCGACAAGGGCGCCCCGAACGACAACGCACGATCCCCTGCCTTTGCTCCTCCAAAAACCCACCCATCCATCCATCGTCTGACCGGCTTCCCGGCCATTTCTACCATGTCGAATGTCGACGGCGTCCATATTGCACGACGAACCGGTACATTCAACGACATGCATGGACTGGAAGTCGACGGAGCCGAGGTGCGAGCCTGGGTGTCGCCAGAACCAGCACCAGCGCCAACACCAGCACCGGCCTGGCCTGGCCTGGGCTGACCTGGAGATGCTTGATGAGAAGGCACGACGTAAGAATTCCTGCATCGGGATTGATTGTTTGCCAGCCCCACCCCATCCCCTCTCTCCCTGCCTGCCTCCCTGCCTGCCTGCTGCCGTAGCTATTCCCACGCCAGCACAGCACCAGGTCTGCTAGCTGCAAAAGCAAAAGTCGCCCGAAAGCACTTGATCAGTGCCTGGGTCGGTGATTATACGACACGACATGGCGCGTGCTGGACCGTCTGTCAGCACCGTCCGGCCGTCCCCCTGGCCTCGCAGCTGCGCGACTTCGTCGAAGCGGCTTCCTCTGTTGGCCGCCTGCAGCTTGGCCTTGCACGCGAGGCGAACCACGTTTGCCAATGACGACGGTCTTCCCGCTTCGGCACCTCGCGTAGGACATGTCTGCACGTCTCATTGCCCCGTCGCTCTCCCCATCTTTCTCCGCGCCGAAGTCCGGGTTAGCACGCCATTACGGCTGCTAGGTGCGATGACTGGTGTGGCCAGACGGCCGCAGGACAGCCGGACAGGCCAGCCGGACAGGCGCTCTAGTGCAGGAGGACAAAAACGCAGCAGAGGCTGACGCCCACATCGACGGCTCCGAAAGCCATCGGCTCCGCCGGATCCGGCAAGCCACCACCCATCTCTCCACTTCCACTTGGAGGCTTCGGCATTATGGCCAACACCAATGATCGGCCCGCGCCTGTCAGGTTGGCCCTCGACTGCCACTGTGACCTGTCACATTCCCCCCTCCCTGCTGGCCCTCAACTCGTGCAGTAGCCTGCAGAGCGCAGCAGGGATGGAGGGGTGCCAGGTGGGAGGTGGAGTTGGCCACAGTGGCACAGCGCTGCCAGCCAGCTTTCTGGGTCAGGCACTCTCAGGCCCGACACAATCGCTCGCCGGCCTCCCCTCCCTTGTCTGCCCCCAGTACCTTTTTGACTTGGTCCCCCTCAGGCTCTCTCTCTCTCTCCCCTCTCTCTCTCTCTCATCCGCGGCATCTCCCGCCGCACAACCGGTGAACAGGCCGGAGAAGCCTCCGCGTTTTCGTCTGGTGTGCGTCTTTTTTTCCTCGTCTCTCTCTCCCTTCTCCTGTCCTCTGCGTCTCGTGTTACACGGCGCTGCAAGGGATGGACAGCCTATATCAAGTGCAGAACAGCGCCGCGTCGAGACCTGCAATCAGCAGCAGCAACAACAGCCACCACCACCATTGACGCGCAACTCGGCTTCGCCTCCAGCTCGTCTATGTGCCTGTTCTCCCTCCCGCCGGACTCGGCTGCGTCTTTGATTCGATGCAAAGCGCCGATTACGCTTCCCATCAGCGAGGCTGCAGGATTTTGTCACACACCTCCTCCTCTATGGCCATGTATGTATGATGTGCGTCGCATGCAGCCAACCGGCACGCTCTGATTGCGGCCTTTTCGGCCTTTGCTATTGTACCTCCCGAGCCAAGGTGAGGAGCAGCGGCCGACCAGCCTGCAAGCCACCGAGCATGGTACTGCCTTTTCGGTCCTCGAGGGCCGCTTTGCGTCGCGTTGCCTCGGCAGGCCGCGTCCCTCGACCTCGATATTATCCGGTAGCCCATTCGCCCAATCATATGCGACATGACTAGTCGTCAAGGACCATTTCTCGATTGGGCTGGTGGCATTTCTCGCATGCACTCTTGTCTTTTCTGGTTTGCCCGTCACGTCGCATCGCGTCTGACCAAGGACGCAGTGGCAGGACGCAGTGGCAGGGAGGGGGGGGNGGGGGGGGCGGGGGGTCGGGGTCGGG